CGAGCCGCTCCAGCGCCGCCGCCTTGTTTCTGGAGATCCGCTGCAGCTGCTCGGGACTCCGCGTTACATCGCCGCTCTCCAACTTCTGTTTCTTGCCCTGAGACAATACTTTAGTATATTTGGTTGAACTCTGTGTTCGCTCGGCAAAAAGACCGGCCTTTTCAGCATTTAAAAAACAAAAACTAAGGCAAGCTATGCTGGGAAACATGCTTATTTATGATATCATAGGAGGTTTTCTCAAAAACGCATGCTTTTTGTAGCATATACACAAATGATACACCATATGGGTTTGCATTCGCGACTATAATTCATGCAATTCTGAGTTAACTTACAACTGAACAGAACAGAAATGAAATGTAAGTTGTTTGAAGTAATCGCCACGCGCTTTTGTTTAGGCAAGTGATGTAAAACTAGGAAGCGTGTAAACTTTAGCGGGTTTAACGATAAAATAGCGAGGTCTCAACCAGAGCCAATTCTATGCGCTACATGAATGACAACATGCTCCACAGATTAATAAAACACGAGCACTCTCACTCATAATTCACGTTAAATGTGTTTTACTCACAGATGCATCCTCTGGGCATCTAACTATCTCGTCCAGATCTCTTTTTTTGGACATGGGCGAAAACAATGGCGTGATACTTTTCTGTCCAATCATTTCCACAAATAAAATGACTGTTTAAAAGAAATAAACTTGAAAAGCACAATCAATACGCGAGGTACGGAGTTTGAAGAGCCGCACTGTCTCCCGCCAGATGCCTGTGACGTCACTGCGCGAGGGCGTAACAAAGTAACACATTCAGCCTGTGTCGGGTGACGAATAAGATCAAGATTGATACATTTAAAACTTCGCGCAAACCTTATCTTATAATGGCACACTTTCTAAGTAAAGTATCGAGACAAAGAAGCGTTTTCTGTCATACAGAAGAGACTGATCGTGTTTTTGGAACCTAGTGTATCTGTCTCTCGGGGGGATCAGAATATGTATAGTGTTTTAAAAAAAGAATTTTCTTTATTACAACACAAACTTTCGGATTCAGTCATTTATTATTAATTAATTTTTTATTATTTTATTATTATCATTATTACTTTTACAAAAACAATTATATTTTTAGGTAGGAATAATGTGCTGTCAATTTTTAAGACTATAATTCTAAAATTGTTTACGATGGGCACAATTTTTGTTTGAAATGTTAAAAACTACTTTCAGTGTTTACCCTCATGTAAATGTTTTTTTTATTTTATTGTTGTTTTTAATGATTTATTAAATTTTATTGCTGTTGTTTTATACTTGTTGGTATAGTTCATTTAAGTTGATTTTGATATGAATAAAAAAGCCTGGTAGCGTGGTATGGCTGTAATGTTTTGTAGGCTACTTTTTCATGTGTTCTGTAACTCTGTTTATGTATATAGCAAGTTTTGTCTAGATAACTCGGGTTTTTTGTTTTGTTTTTTTGCATTACTGCTAGCCTACTACTATTTCTGCTAATAGCCGAATTATGATGATGTTAAAATGCTTTCATGAAAATGGGTGATGACACGAGCAGAGGGAAAACAGGTAACAGAAAAGAGAAGAGAGATAACATTGAATGAAAAAGAAATGAAAAAAAAAAAAACTTACAAGTTCACAAGACAATATCATAACAAAAATAACCCATAGGCATGTCAGCATAACCACAGCGACCCTGTGTGGGCGAATCAAACAGCACATTATACCAGTGTGTTCAAACGCCACATGCTTTTCGCAATTAAACAGAGTTTAGTTGCTTCCTCAAATGTGATCATGATTGTAATAACAATTCTGTGAGGAGAAGCATGCACACTTTAGAATATTAACATGTATTGCTGCTGCACACCTTTTCTTTCTCACACGAGAAATGAGAAATATAATGAACATTCTTATTCATAATAGCACTCCCGAATTTTTCACATATTTAGCAGCAAAAACAGAAGGACATATTTTACTATTCTGAACAAAGGAAACACCAACAACACTGCAGCAAACATTTCACAAAAACTTCAAATGAAACAACAAGACACTGTTCAAAACGGCCACCGAAATTATGTAGCATTTCTGTTAGATATTATAGGAACATAAAAGACTCCAATCAGAAGAAAAATCATTTAAAAAAAATTAATCTAGTCCTACGAAAAGGAGTAGCATATCTACTCAAGCCACTTGGTTTGATATTGTAATTTTATTTTATAACTCATCAAGTCTGGTTTACCGTCCAAATAATTTCCTTCTGTAAAAATGAATGAAAAAAGAATAAAAATACATAAAATAGACGATGCACCCTTATAGAAAAAAATAAAAAGAAAGAGAAGCAATAATCAGAAGCCAGTGCTGAATGTAGATAACGTGAAGCGTTAAACAACAACAACAACAACAAGCACCCCGAAATTAAAATGCTCTCAGATTATCCAGTGATAAATTAAACATTGTTATTACATGTTATGCTTTTGGTAGCTTTGTGAATTGTTGTTGTCCTTTCAGATATTGTCCTTCAGTATCCGACACAAGAATCAGCGTGCATTGCTTTTTATTAATTAAAAACGTATACTTTCCATAAATCATATTTATAACCAAACCAGGAAAATACAGCTTTCCCCCGGTGCTTCTGGTTTACTCGTCAGATTTGAGTGTGTGTGTGTCTAAGTGTGCCTAATAGCCTGTACTTGTCCCAGTCAATAGGCTTTTAATATCAAAGCGTCTGAAATAGCCTATATGTGTATTCTGAGCACATGTACTGGGCGAGATTATATCATAGAAGGGCTCAGATAATTGTGTGAAGTCTTCCCTAAAAGTTGCACATATTATATTAATAGTAGTAAGGTGAATTTTGACCTCAAAGTGATGGAGCCTCATGCCGACAAAGTTGAAAAACACACAGATTACTGAAATAATCTCAGGTTTAGATTACTGTTCATTCGTCGCACACCGCTCTTAATCCGCACAAGTAATATCATCCTTAGATAATAATATGTCCCTGGATATTAGAAAAATGCATCGAGGGAATATGCATATACTGTAAAAATTATATATATATATTTTTTTTATTGTTGGCACTTTTTGGATCATTTTAATTTAATTATTGCCGAATAAAATCGAAACTCTCAGACAAATCCAGCAGGAATCCCTTTTTCCACATTTATCCCCCTATAAGGTAATTGTTCATCTTTAAGATTTTTAAGAGTTTTATATTTTATTAGGTATTATTATTTCATATTGTTACGATTTTTTTTATTTTACTTAACTTTATTCTTTTTATTTTATAGAATATTTACATATTATTTTTGTTGTGGAAATTTGCATCGAAGCAGCCTGATCGAACACCTCCAACATGTTCTGTGGCAACAACAACAAAAAAAAGTCTCTCTCTTTCATGAGAGACAGAAGCAGGCAGGTGAAGTGTGTGGCTATTTGCCTGATAAAAGAGCTGTGACAGACAGACAGACCGAATCTGAATCTCTGCTTTCCTGTCGGCACGCAGCTCCAGGAGATGGCTGTGCGAAGCTGCCAGACATGCTAGTAGAGGTGGGGGGGGATCAAAGTTAAAGGCTTTTCTATTCCTCTCTGATTTAGGCTGTCGCTGTGCCAACGACGACACCTTGAAGGGCGATAGGAGCGAGCGGGTGTGAAAAGGGGCGAGTATAAAGTCGGTGGCTTTAAAAGCGCTCGCAGCATTTATCATTGCTCTGAACCTCTACTGCGCTAATTCACGACTATGGCATTCTTTTTTGACCAATCGTTGGATTTGGTTAAAAAAATAAGCGTGGAGACAGAAAGAGATTTTATTTTCAACACAAGCATGGTCCAGTTGACAGGTGAGCATAAAAACCCATTAAACAGCATGTTGGATTGATACAAGCTATTTTGGATACTCCTTCTTATTATTCTCGCCTGTGTATAGTTAAAGAACTCTGGCATTCTTATAAAGCATTTCTTCCTAACAGTCGAGACGATAGTGTGTGTGTGTGTGTGTGTGTGTGTGTTTTCTGACAACACTTATCTGAACAATTGATCTTTAGATGTAACCAGCAAGCATTCGTTGTCTCCTGAGCTCGAAAGGACTCACCATGCTGAGGGGCAAAGGAAAAGAAAGAGGACGATTTTCAGCCGCGCGCAGTTGTCGGAACTGGAGCACGCTTTCATGATCACGCCGTATCCAGACATCACTCTGCGCGAGCGACTGGCTGCACTCACGCTGCTTCCAGAAAGCAAAATCCAGGTCAGAAAACTAGAGAATGCTGTGCATTATTATTGATTTGTCTTGATTTCACATCTTAATATTTCTTTGCAGGTGTGGTTCCAAAACAGACGAGCTCGCAGTATGAAAAGCAAGAAGTCGAGCACAGCAGTTAGGAGGAGTCCAGGCAGGGATGCGAGCTCTCACTCTATAACCAATCTTGATTCAAACCCGGAACAAATGTATGGTGTTCCAGAACAAAGAGACAGACCAGAGGCCTGCAGAGGCCACCAGCAAAGCCTTAGACCAGCTCTCAGTTCCTGGTCTCAGAATCTTCCGCATCCAACGCCACCCACACCAGCCATTTCTCCAGAGCTGCCCGGAGGTCTCCAGTGGGGGATCAGACAGGCTGAAACCCCTGGAGCTTCATCTTTCTCCAGCTGCCCATCCGACAGGTTGGCTCACTATCCATTCCAAAGCCAGTCAAGCGGTCACTGGCAGATCAACTGCTTTTCAGCTCACCCTGAAGGCTTCTCCGGGCATCAGCTGAAATCTGATTGTGCTGCCAATCAGGCCATATATTCTTCCATGTCTGTGGACCAAGCGATGCCTGCACATCAAACCAGTTTGGAGGAAGCGCTGCAAAGACAGGCTCTGACACACTACCCTCAGACCTCACTGGGAGACATCTCCGACCTCATATATAAAGCAGCTGTAGTCACCAATCTGGAAGACTGCTAGTACAGTTTGATTTGTTTAGTTGTTCATATGTGTTAATGATTTCATGATTTTTTGCTATTTTGATAATTGCAAATGTGAAGAGCTATAGTTTAGGATTGTCCAACAAGATTGTGAAAATGTTATGCAATCTGCCAACTGTAAAAAAAAACGAGTTGTTTCCTCGTCAGTTAGTTTTTGATTTAATACAGTTATTTTGGTTTTAAACAGTATGTCTTTCTGTAAGTGTGATGGGAAAAGTTTCTTCTGTATTCTGTTTTTATTAAGATGTTTACATGGTGTGCATTGATATTTATGTAAATTAATCACTTGTTAATCTATTTATTTGCATTTAACCAATTAAAGGTATCTTTGTCATATATTTTTTTGTCATATATATATATATATATATATATATATATATATATATTTTTTTTTTTTTAATGATGTCTGACAATACTAATTTTTCATAAGAAAGCATCTTGTTTGTTTAATAATGCAAAAGGTACTAATGTACTACACAAATCAGTTTTGTTTTGACTAATCGTTTATTCATAACATCAAAAACATTTTTATTTAATCTTAAATATAAGACAATCACATCAGATATCAAATGTGTTGCAGTATTGCAGGATACAGAAATGAAATCTAAATTATACCTCACCAGAACAAAAACAAAACCTGGGAATAAACAATAAATGGAAAAATCAAAACAATAAACGAAAGATCAAAAAAAATGTAAAACCTCAGGGCTCATGTTTTGTCAGTTTATGGGTCTTAGATTACATTTGGATTTGAAGATCCAAACAATATATTACTATCGAAGTAATTATGGAGAAAATAGCAAAGACCTCCCAGGTTTCCACTGACCTACTGGACACTGAGCTCTATGTATCATAATCATCTCTGCAGCAAAATAATCTTCAAATAAAATAGAAAAAATTCTCATAATCCTAGTGTCAAATCTACAGTCCTTCTCTGTTGTGTGTGTCCCTGATGCAGCTACATCCTTTAATCCAGGAAAAGATATTGAAGGGATATGTGCTTATTTTGTTAGAATCAAACCAGGAACTATAATCATAATCATATACAGGTTGATCGGTACACAATGTTAGGTGATCCCGAATAACTCATTTTCATTTCTCCAGATTATTTTTACATTACAGCACAAGATGGCAGTACAGCCAACCTTTTAATAATAACAATAATTATTGATTATTATTATTACTATTTCTTGTTAAACTTCAGTTAAAACACCATGTATCCTAAAAATCAATTTTATGTCAGTTTATTTTCCACACCTGGCCTGGTGTCTAAATCTCTCTCAGACCTGCCTTCATTGGTGACAGCTCAGTTTAAGCACTGTGTCTGTTCTCTGTGAAATCAAACCACTATTAAACACCTCAATACACTCTGACGCAGCCCTCCATTAAGCTAAACAACAAGCTAGTCTGGCGTTGGTATAAAATAGAAATGCTACCAAAATGAATAAAAATGCAACCAAAATTCAAGATATGACCTGCCCCTGTATAAATTCCTGTTTATTTGTGTTTAGAATATAAAAGAGCTATGCAATATCCCAAGGACAAGAGTGCTATTTTCTCGACTATCTTTATGATTGTGATATTTATTTTAAAAGAAATAATACAATTATATATATATATATATATATTTTTTTTTTTACAATAAGTTTATTACTAAATGGCAATATTTAGACACAACATTGACAATTTTGACTGTATTTCGCCAAACACAGTTTCAATGACACATTCATAATAAGACAGCGGTAACTTATGCTTTGTGAATGAATCAGTTTGAAGAATCAGTTGAATGAATGATTCTATGATTCACTTATTAAGACTTTTAATTTCATATCATTGTAATTTCATTACATTTTTCCAAAACTTGATATTTTTAAATTCAAAATGTATAAACCACCTGATCTCACAACATTATTAATGCCACTGTTACTGTCGGTACATGTATGTTTCTTATTTAAATTGAAACTGGATTAAAAGATGATTCACAACAAAGAAAGGCCATCCAAACTGAACATTCATCAGAGCTGTTCTGTGTCATGTTCCACGAATGTTTAATGCTTCAGTGCTATGTGCTAAAACTTAGTCAAAAGAAATACATTCACAAGGTGTTTTTCATTACAGGTTGAAATATTTCATTACAATATTGCCACATGATTAAACACATGTTTGTAGAAACAGTTTATTAGAAAAGGGACAGTTTTAAATTCTATATTTGACCCTTATGGAAATCTTCTATATAATACAGAGGTACACACACACACACACACACACACACACACATTGGTGTTGGTGGTTTACGGGGACTCCATAGTCGTAAGGTTTTTATACGGTAAAAACGGTATATTCTATTGCCCTACACCAACCCTACACTTAAACCTACCCCTCACACAAAACTTTCTGCATTTTTAGATTTTCAAAAAAACACCATTTAGTATGTTTTTTTAAGCCTTTTGAATCACAGGGACACAGGTAGTGTCCTCATAAACCACCTTCATATTTTAATACCTGTGTCATACAAATCTGTGTCCTCATAAACCAGCCAGTGCGCCCGCACACACACACACACACACACACACAGACACACAGACACACACACACACACACACCAATTTAAATGTGTAAAAGTAAATTATAGTATTTTGTATCTTGAAATTACAGAATCTACATGTCAAATTTGCTTTGAAGTTATCACTATAAGGCTGAACCTATTCTGAAAGCAAAGAACATTTCGGTGTACAACTGGAACTCATAAAATTAAAAGTAATGTAATGAGTGCTTGGAATTAGGAGACCCGCATCACAATAAGCACGTTAAGCATTACCACGTCGCTTCTCTCACTTCACTATTACAGTTTTTTACGATTGTTTACACACTAAAATAAAAATGTCCACACAATTCGCAAAATTCTACTCCAATGAGCAAAACACCTCCACAGATTTGCACAACATTACACACTTATGCAAATTGAGTGTGGTGTTTGGATAATTGTGCTTATATTTTGAAAAAAAGAACCCGGTTTTCAAAATTGCGTGTAAACAAATGAAAAAAAGTGTAACTACAACCAAGAAACCTACGTGCCATCTAGTGGCAAATTTATGCAATCGCATCCCTCTTAGTTTAATGAATTCGGGAGCACTATTCTCTATTAGCTAGTTGTTTACTTGCATGCATATTACACTAATAAACAGCCAATATGCTAGTATTGGCTGTTTATTAGTACTTATAAAGCTCATATTAATGGCTTGTTCTGCGTGACCATATTCTAGATCCCTTAATCCACACCATACCTAAACTTAACAACTGCAAACAACTACCTTAATGCTACCAATAAGCAGCAAATTATGAGTTTATTAAGGGAAAACTCTTAGTTAATAGTGACCATGTGTTCCCTAATCTGAAATGTTACCATGAACTCTTTCTGTAGTCACTATAACAGTGCATGAAAGAAATAAAGAGCATCGCAATTTGTCATAAATCAACAATTTCACAATTATGTGAACAATACACTAAACTGCATATTAAATGAACGTGAGAAAACCCTTAATAATGACAATATGAATATTATAACAGAATGTTTGTGTGTTATCCCTGTCAATTCCTGTCTAGTACACTTAGTCCTTCAGCTAAACGGACTCACGTCTCAAGTTTCTCATGCTGAAACATGCTTATGCCTATGCCAAAATGCCTATGCACTTTCCTACCATGAAGTAATTCAAATGAGGCAATATGTCTCATAGCATGTACTATGGCAGACATGTTGATTTCCATGGTGCTGACTGTAGAATGGCTGGCTGAATCACACTTGTCATGTCCTTTTCTTTAAGGAATGCATCAGTCTCAGGTGAAGTGAACTGAGGCCCTTTGTAACTAACTGGAGTTGCCAGGTTAAAGTGTCATATCGACTGTCTCAAACAGCAGTCTTGAAAGGGCCCACAATGTGTATTGCCAATTTTTCCCAAGGTGCTGAGGGCAAAGTTTGGCACTCTTATCCACAGACAGACATGAGCGTGTCCATATTAGGCCACCAGTCGATTTCACACACTATTTTTTATTTTATTTTTTGCTCTTACAACTCCTTGATGGCAATCAGGACAGCAGTGGACAGCAGCAAACACAGGCTATGGGACTCAGTGGAAGTAATAGGCAATACACTCAGGCTCTGTATGGGACTCAGTAGAAGGCAGGAGGTGAGACAATCAATCCACAGTGCAATTTTCCAATAGTCTATGTCTTTCTGCCATATGTTTCAAACATTGTCTAAAATATTACAAGCTAGCTGTTGTAACTTGTAGGGTAAGATGCCCTCGGGGAAAGATGACTCCTCTATTTTCATTTTTTTCACTTTCCCCTCTTGAATTGGCACAGGGGGCCCAAATGTGTTGTTACTAGTGTTATTATTTTTACATTTAATGCTTACTGTAATTTATTAGGTTATTATTCACTAGATGTGCATTTCAGACACACACACACACACACACACATGCACGCACGCACACACACACGTACACACACACACACACACACACACACACACACACACACACACACACACAGGAAAAAATATAGATGAACAAAATCAGATAATGTCCGCACGCACACACACACACACACACAAACAGGTTAACTGAGTGAAATAATTCACTTTGAATTGAACCAGCAAATGTTTTTATTTATTTCCTTTAATAACACATAGGCTGATGCGTCATCAACCTGCACTGAAAAAAATGTTTAATTCATCCAATTAAAATGAGGGCCTCATGGCAAGTTATTTATTTTTCATTGGCTCAAGTTAAAAAAATATAGATGCGAATCATTACCCTACATTTTTTTCATTTGATGAATTAAAATTTTTTTTCAGTGTGCACGTGCTAAACTAACATCTAAATGTGTTACAATTTCTAAGTAAATGTACCTTGTTCTTTAAGGGGGCATCTTCCCCTGCTAGATATTTGAAATATTGCTATTTAATATATGGTAAAACACAGAAGAAGATTTTTAAAGAGTCAGCAGGATGTCGATATGATTTTAACCCTTAATATGCGTCATTTTAATCATGGCATAATGCACCGGATCTAATAGCAATTAGGCTTGTCACTTCATCTGAATGTTATACACCAACACCTTACAGATATCATAATCCTCAGTATGATCCCACGATGAATTACTAACTTAAATTTAAAAGCTGCGTTACCCATATACTCACATAAAGCGATAGGCTATATGAAATCTGTTTGATCGTTTATTTTGTTGCTCTAAACTGCTCATGGTGGACTGTATACGGCATTAATGTGTTATGAATATTAACAAAACATTAACATTGTGAATTTCTGTGGAACTACTTTGAGTGCACGATGTTGTAGCGCGTTGGAGAACTCTTTTAAAAGATAAAATTCCTCATTAAAATGCAATGAAAGAAAATAAAAAATGAAACTGACAAGTAATATCTTGAAAATGCACAATTACAGAGCTTGTACCTGTTTTGAAACATGAGCTATTTTGCTAAATATGTAGGCTGTTGGGCAAAGTTAGGTTGTTGAAATAAAACATAGTTAAATCCAACCAAAAGAATCAATTTTGCATGCAATGCCTTATGAATCAAGAAAAGCATTTCAAAATATAAGTCTAAGATAAATTTGCTGCCTGGTATTGAAACGGTTTTGTTTATTTATTTAATTATTTCTTTTTGCATTAAATAATGCCGCTTAGAGTCTGTCTGTTGCTGCTCCCCTCAACACATGACATTTGCTAACAAATAGCACCACCTAATTTCACAAAAATGATCTTATAGGAAATAGACAGGAAATTTGACAGCCTCGTTGGATATTTACGTGCTTGGAAAACCATACAAAACATTAATATAAATATTATTGGTGCATTATTCCTCTACATCCATATAGAGACACGTTGAAATTTTATTTATTTTAATGTAGATTACAAGTCACTGAGATTCGCTTGTGCTCTATTCTCCTCAGGACAAGGGCACATGCTGTTTCTCTATTATTCCTCTCAGAAAATGATGCCACATTACGAAGACCTATAAATCATTAAAGTATGTATTGGTCTCAAAACAGGTTTCAGTTCAATAATTCATTTAATAGACCGAGCTACAGAGAGCTCTACAAATGATGCTGCTCCTGCAAATATAACACTAATAAACACCTGCTGGCAAAACATTACTGCATCTCTGGAAAGACCATTTAGGCCATATATAAACTGACATAACTTTATATAATGATAAAGTAATGAGCAGCGAATAATAACAAGGAGGAAAAGGGAGATTGTTTGTAAATAACGTTTTTACAAAGAAATATATCTCTTAGTAGGCTAATGTGTTTTAATGTACGCTAAGTAAATGAATGGAGTTGGAGAAATCCTGACAATATGGTGAATAGGTGCGCGTATATAAAATACTTCATCAAGGTCGTATATATAGGTTTGGACTGGGGTTATAGGGATGGAGCCTCGTATTTACTTTGTATTAAACAAATCGTACAATTTTATACGAATCAGAATGTGTACGAAATTGCACTCTAGTGAAATAGCTACGTTTTCTCGTGAGATCGGGTTGGTTAGTCACGTTCAAACAGTACGCCAAATAAAAACGAAAACTCGTGGTATTGATACGCAAAAACGGACTTTGGCGTGTATATGCTACGCACGTGTTTGGCGTGCATATGATACGCAGTTTTCGCGTGCATATGATACGAAATTTGTTGGCGTGCATATGATACGCATCTACCCCACAACCCTAATCCTACCCATCGCGTAGCATATACACGCCAAAGTCTATTTTTGCGTATCAATACCACGAGTTTTCGTTTTTATTTGGCGTACTATTTATACGCACTTCCATGAGATCGGGTTAGCCTCAGGTCTCCGGTGCGGAAGCTTCTCGAAAAATCAAAGTTAAGAAATATGTTTTAGGCTATCGATTACGAAACAACATCTTTTTATTTTTTTATTTTTTATGAAATACAAATGTAGCAGTGGTATGGCTAGTGATCTGTCTTACACAGAGGAAATGGTCTAAAAAAAGTTGAGAAGAATCTCATTGTTTTGGCCGTCTGCTGCTTTCTACCCGCAGATGTCAGTCGTTCAAACTCATTTACTATTCGTTTCTCTTTGTAATAGATGCATTACGTACATTTTTTATTCTAAATAATTTAGAAAAATAGTCCTAAAAACAAACAATAAGCATACGTAGCGAGTACAGTCTTGTAAATCCATGCAACACATTTTTTTTTTTTACTCTAATTTCTAATTTCGTTTCCAAAGATGTGTCCTGTTTGTTTGTAGTAGCGAATTTGGCAACTGATGTGCTTTAAAAAGACTAGTGCATGAACTGAAAATTAATTTATAAATAAATAAAACTTTTTCCATTTTCCTAAGCGATGTCCTTTGAATATAGGCTATTCCAAACAAACAAGAACGCCTAGGACTTTCTTATTATTCCGGCTTCGGGTTCGCCCCTCCTCTTTTAGTGATCTATAAAACAGTGAGCAGGCTATCCGTTGCAGAGTGCGCGTGGATTCCGCAACAGTTCACATAATAGACACAGCTGACTCCGGGGCGTGCTGGCAGATGGTTGATATAAGCCGGGTGTGTGTG